AGGTTCAGACGGGGTTGTAGTATGGGTAGTGATAGGGGTTGGGGTAGTGATAGGGATAGGAGGAGTGATAGCAGTAGTAATAGGGGTAGTGATCGGGGTTGGGGTAGTGATAGGGGTAGTGATAGGGATAGGGGTAGTGATAGGGGTTGGAGTAGTGATAGGGGTAGAGATCTGAGTATATATCAGGGCTGGGGGTAGTGATAGGGGTAGAGATATGAGTATATATAAGGGTTGGGGTAGTGATAGGGGTAGAGATAGGGGTTGGGGTAGTGATAGGGGTAGTGACAGGCGTTGGGGCAGACCTGGTCATAGCTGTGGAGTGGCGGCAGGGAGTATCCGGATGATGAACTAGAAGAGAAGAGATGGGGGTTGTTTGAAGAGAGGAATGGAAGCCGGTTGTAGTGAAGATGATCGCTCTCTGTGCGTGCTGAAGTGGGACTTGGTTCCAGTGGAGGGGAGCGAGAAGGGAGAAGTAGCAGGGCGAGGGAGACCCAGAGAAAGACAGCAGAAATCGGAAGCGTTCGAGGATGGGATGGGATGAATGTTCAAGGCACCTGCTCACGGATTCAACCGCACCTGAACCATCACGAGGCGCTGACAGGGAGAGAGTTGTGGGACTCGCCATGCCGAGCTCGCTTGCGCGATTCTCAGCAAACGCGAATAGCCGAGCAGATCGATGAATGAATAAGGTCATGTGGGTCTCGGGACGTGACAGAATGTATTGGATTCGATGGATAAGGAGCGCCTTTGATTACAGAGCCACCACGTATTGTGAAGGCAGTCCCACAAATCCTGCGTCTGGTCAATGGTTAAAGGCAGAATAATGATTTAACTTTTAATTATCGAGGCATCGTATTTGGCAGGCTGTTTACAATCCGGACTTGTTTTTTTGTTTTTCATGTAGGCACTCAACATCAACAACAACAGCCGCCATTCGCCACTAAGTGGTGGTTGCATCACCACGGCGCTTGTGCCAGGCTAGGTGTTCTATAACGCCACGTGAGGTGTCCGAGGCTAGCTGGCAGGAACTCACGGGACGGACCCAGGTGCCATGGGTTGACTGACTGAGATGACTGGTAAGATGCTCCACCTGTGTCCTCTACTGTGTTAACTTGCTGTGTTTTAGCTTCCCGGCGCTCCGCTCGTTGTTGTGAGCATCGCTCCTCTGTACTCACGCACATACACTTACCGTCCACTCGTTAACATACACCACAACCAACCACGCAAATCAACTACATAGCCAAGCAAGCATGTGACCGGAGTAGAGGCGTGGAATTCGTGAAGGTCTGGTTCAGAAAACGGAGACGACAAAATGGTGCCATTTTTCGATTTAAAGCTTTCGTGACTGCAGGGATTCATCTTCTTGGTTCTTTCGGTAAAGTCACGTAAAAGGGAGATAATAAAATAATAAAAATAAAACATAATAAAATAATACAATTCTCACGACGTTTCGGCCACGGCTGCTTGCGTTGTGGTCGAAACGTCGTGAGAATTGTATTTTATTATGTTTTATTTTTAGTATTTTATCATCTCCCTTCTACGTGACTTTACCGAAAGAACCAAGAAGAAAAATGGTGGCATTTTGCCAGCGAGAAAAGTAAGACCACATCGGGTTTGCTGTCGACGTTCAACGCTCTGTGGCTCTTTCAGCCTCATGTTTGACCTTATTGTTGTGACGTTGTTGTTGTTGTGACGTTGTTGTTGTGATGTTATCAGGGCCATGACCTTGCACGTGCGGGTCACCCTGCCGAGCCGCCCAAAAATAGTAGTACTCGTAATAATAATAATATAAAGAGTGACATGGTCACATTGATGGAGATGCGAGCGCGTGATTGCCGAATCTCGGTGGAGCACCGGGTGGTGGCACGGCCCATGCATCGTAGGCTAAGCCATCAGTGCCACTCAGGGCCGATAAGCTGGCGCGATCCTCTCAGATATATTATTTTTTATGCCACGCCGTGGCGGCGTCGCGGCTCGGGATTAGGGTAAAGGGGAGTTGTATGCGCGGAGAGATAGCGAGGGCACGCGGATGGGGTAGGGGGGTTCGTGGGGTGGGGGGTGACATAGGCAGACAGGCAGGGAGATTGGTTGGTAGGTAGGCGGACACAGAGAGTAGGCAGGTCGGTAGGTAGGTAGTCAGGCAGATTGACAGGAGGCACAGCGGCAGAAAGATAGGTAGGCAGGTAGACTACAGATACTCTTTGGTTCTTTCGGTAAAATCACGTAAATGAAAATAATAATAATAAAATAATAATAAAATAATGAAATGAAATAATTAAATGTAATTTTATTCTTCTTACTTTTTTTTTCTTTTTCATCTACGTGGCTTTACCGAAAGAACCAAAGAGTATGGATCCTTGCAGTCACGAAAACTTCAGATCTAAAATTAGACTGCAGATAGTCAATCAGGTAGGCAAACTGGGACACGATGGTCACAGACCGACAAATACATAGACACAAGAATACCTGCAAACAAACATAAAGTAGAACGCATTTTTCAATAACACTGCGGCCTTTAAAGAGACAACATTTTCCAATAGGCGAAATGTCGAGCAATGGCCGTTCAACAGACAAACTAGCAGACAAAAGCCACCACATAGGCAGAAAGACGGAGTTTGATGAGAGCAGGCGAGATAGGAGAGTTGGAGAGACTGCGACAGAGGCACAGGCTGCATAATGAGAGCAAAGTGACGCCTTATTGTCAGGCTACATTTGCGTGCAAACAACAAAATGAGTCGAAACAAAACAAACAATGCAATTGACACGGACGCGAAGTGGTGAAGTTTCTTAAACCGCGACTCTTTATTTTGCGGAAAATTCACGCTGCAAACCCATTGCCTCCCCTTGGCCGCTTTTAGTTAGGAAAAAAAGGGGCCGTCGCCGATTGGCAGGGGGAGGCGGGGGGAGTTGAGAATTTCAGCTTCGTAAATTGAAGAACGGAAATAAAAATATAACTTCAATACAAACTCTGCGCGCAGATTAGTTTGCGTGCGCGGTGCGCGAAGGAACCGCGGTTATCTTTGACTGCGCGAGAAAACGATTGAACGTGTTCCCCCCTGCACCCCCCCCCCCCCATAACGTCGCACGCAACAGACAGCGATTGCAACAATGTTCGGGAATTGCTGCGGCTCCGTGACCTTCAGAGGAAGCCTAACGAAGGGAGAGATACAATTCATCGTTGACAAAATGGGGAGAGAAAAGGAACAGATACAAAAAAATAACGCGGCGTTGGAGAGTTGGGGAGTTGTGGGGGGGGAGGGAGTGGAATCAATCAAAACACAATGCACACACCACGCACCACACACCACGCACCACACCACACACGCACCACACCACACACGCACCACACCACACACACTACACGCACGCAGCACGCAGCACACCACGCACCACACCACACACCACACACACCACACACACACCACATACACACCACACACACACCACACCACGCACCACACAGCGACGTTGGGAATCTGAAGGCGCCCGCGGGGTTCGCGCGGACGGCCACGAGGTGGACGAAGCCCCCCAGGAGGCGCGATCTCTGAGCCCGGCCCAGGGCTGCGCTGCTCGGCGCTTCTCGGACGAGCCTAAAGGGGGTGGCGAACTGGCGTCTGCGTGCTGTGATGTTGAACTTCTTTCGCACCGTACGTAGCCGGCCGTGCTATGTTTGTATGGACTCTATGTTGAACTTTTTTCGCACCGTACAGATCGAACCGTGCTATGTTTGTATGGACTGTATGTTGAACTAGATTTGAAGCTTTCGTGACTGCAAGGATTCATACTCTTAGGTTTTTTCGGTAAAGTCACGTTTATTTATTATTATTATTTTTTACCGACGTGACTTAACCGAAAAAACCTAAGAGTAAGTATGTTGAACTGCTTTACGCGCTAATCGGAGGTGCGAAAGGTGAAGGTGTTCGAACGGACGCGAGCCACGCACGCTGCTGTTGCTTTACTACTCCGGCATCGATAATCACTATCTACCAGTCTTTCGCCCTTTAAGACGCACACGCACGCATGACGCACTATGGATGCGTACGGTAGATGCGTCTGTGGGTTGTGCCACGGCCATCAAATGGGCTAATGAACGCACAAACCCACACTGCGCTCGGCGGTTTCCCCAAATCGTCGTGCTGAGCCATCTCTCCTCCTCTGCGTGGCTTTGCAGTGGCGCCTCGCTCGTGGCCAGCCAGGGCCCCCTTCACTTCACCTCTCTGACCTCCGCTCCTCATCGTCTGCCGTAGCTCGCCGTGTCTCTCTCCCTCCCTCCCTCCCGTCTCTCGTTGCGCGTCGCTGTCTCCCGAATCCGGCCTCTCGCCGTGTCTCTACTGTCCGTGTCTCCCACCTCTTGACCCCCCGTGTCTCCCACCGTCCACACTATCTCACACCTTACTCATCTCCCACCTCTCACAGCATCTGCCACCTTTCACAGTATCTCCAGACATCTCAAAATATCTCCCACATTTCACCGTCTCTACCTTTGCTGGTCTCCCACTTATCGTGGCATTTCGCACTTGTCACAGTATCTCCGAACTCTCACAATATTTTCCACCTCTCACAGCATCTCCCACCTTTCACATTATCTCCCACATTTTACATCTCCCACCTCTCACGGTATCTCCAAGATTTTACATCTCCCGCCTTTCACACTATCTCCAAGATTTTACATCTCCCACCTCTCACACTATCTCCAAGATTTTACATCTCCCACCTCTCACGGCATCTCCAAGATTTTACATCTCCCACATTTCACATCTCCCACATTATATTCAACTTCTCTGGAGCAGCGACTGACGGGATGTTGGACTGCGTGGGGAGGGAGGCCCTCAATCAGCGGCGGACTGCCGACAAGGGCCCGTACATTGTGCTCGCGTGCGATGCGGCGGTAATGGAATTGGTTTGTGTTTCGGAATCGACGTGCTGGGGTGCAGTTTGAAAGGGGGGGGGCGGGGGGGGGGAGGTCGCGCCGGTATCACGCGAAGACCGCCCACCCGCCCGCCCTCGCTCTGCTGAGAAAGGACAACCCCACGGCAAAGTCTTTCACAGGTAACCAAAGAGAAGTGCGTCTCGCCGGGGTCACCCGCGAATCAGAAGCCACGGCGACCTCCTCACCACCAACCCGCCCCCACCACACCAACTTCAGACCCGCGCGCAATCGCGTCCATTCATCTCGTCTGTCACAATAAACTTCACACGCGCCGCGGGGTCGCGCCGCGATGACTCGACGATGTGGCGAAATTGAGATCTGCGCTGTGAAATCAAGAGGATTGGGGGGGGGGGGGGGGCACACAGGCGGGTCTGGACACTTCCCAGGGTGGGGAGGTGGTGGTACGGGAGCGATTCCGAAATTTCATGATTTTTAAATAGGGAACCACGTTATTTTCAATGTATTCCTCTCTGGTGAATAGCAATGGCATACCGATTGTCGGAGTCTCATGGGGGGGGGGGGGGGTAATCGCCATCATAGCCCCCCCCCCCCCCACCTTGTATTCGTCACTGGGAAGGGGACGACGTGACGGAGGGAGGCGACCGAAGAGGCAGGAAGAGGAGGCATGATCGGGAGCTGGGCAGCCGGGTAGCCGCCAATATTAATTTCAAGAAATGTTTTAAAACTCGTTTTTATTACTGCGATATTGCTCTTTGCTGCTGGCCCTTTGGAACTGTGCGCCTTTGAGCCCTGTGCTCAGCAGTTACACATCAAGGTTGGAAGTGCAGGTGTGGGAGCAGACCTTTATTCTGATCGAGCGGCAACGTTACCAGCACCTGGGTTCAATCCCCGTCTCAGGCGCCTATCGGCGTGGAGTTTGTATGTTATCCCCTGTACTTCATGGGATTCCTCCGTATTTTCCGGCTTTCTCCCACAGCTAAAAACATAGAATGTCATTATTGTTGGTCAAAAATACAAGTTAAGTTTTACTATTCATAATAAAGGTTTTTTTTTGACGCAGCCAATTAGTAAGGTGGGTTGGAGAGTAAATCCACGACATTACCAACATTTAGAACGTTTCGCTGGTAATTACATCCAGCGTCATCATAATCGGGCGATTTTACCAGAATTGTGTTTAATTGCGAACATATCACAAACAACGTTGAGCCCAGAGCTGAATCTGTTCCAGTTCAGCAAGCCGGAAAATAATTTCCGCACCCTGCACACCACATCCAGAATGCCTCTCTCGCCATGGCTGCGGCTACGAGCTTCTTGCCGCTGACTCCAGTGGCCCTGAAAATATTCAGTAACAAAAAAAAACTTTTGACGCTACGCAAGCACATCCATTAGTTGCCTCGGGGTCACAGCACGCGGGCCATGGAAAGTCTTTTCTCGGCCGAGATTAAAATAACTCGCTACGTGAAGCAAAAAACTGGGATAAAAGATATTAAATGTGATTAATAATATAATAATAAAACATACTAACATTTAAGATGAGTACACGTAAAATCGGAGTCGGCTTCACACTCTTAACACGGACTCAAATTGCTATTTATAAATTCAAAATACATTGCTGCTATTTCTTGTTCGTGTGTGTGCGTGTGCGTATGCTGTATAGGTGCTCGCTGACAGCACTTGCCCCAAAAGTATGTTAAGGCTATACGGGGGATCCTTTGTGTGTTGTATATGTTTAACGTGTACGCGGGGAGTTGGTGGCGCAGTCGTTGGCACGCTGCACAACGAACCCAACAGAGCCGAGTTCGATTCCTGTCCCACGGCCAGCATCAGTGGTCGGGCGATATCATAACCGCCCTTACCACCCTCCGCTATACCGAGACGACCCCAAATGATGTATCCGGTGCGGGCGTGTAAACAGCAGTGCTGGGGAGAAGAACACGGCGGCAGGCAGGCAGGGCACGGCGCTGGCCGAACCTCGCCCCTTCGTGCACCGTGCTGGCGGTAGTTAGTAGGCTCAGCGCTACAGCTGCGAGTGGCGATACAGAGAGGGTGCTTGCGAGTGAAGTTGCCAAAAATTGGCAGGTGCCCGTGCGGCCTGCCGCGATCCCGCGCGCGGACGTTCGTTTTACCTGCGGCTCGAATTCCACGACGGTCAGCTGCTCCCGATCGATGTAATTCCATTTTTTTCTTCTATTCATAGCGCAAGACGGTAGCAAGCAAAGTGCGTCGACAGCTGAATCCCCAATGTCCGAGGAGGTCTGCTGTTGCTGCTGCTGCTGGCCATGACGAGAGGGCTTCAGCAGAGAGAGAGGGCTCGCATCGTGTCCACTGTTCCTCTTCCTCCTCCGTTGATGGGTTAACTGTGTGGTCCGTAGTAGTGTGGGTTGTAGGCCCACAATCGCAGCTACTGTGGCTTGCCTCTAATGTATCTCAACGAGTCTCTGTCTCTATGTGTCCCTGTGGGTCTCTCAATATCTCCCTGCGTCCCTATGGGTATCGTATGCGGTCCCATTGTTTGGGTCGTATTGCCCACAATCACACGACTGTGGCTTGCCTCTAATGTGTATCCATAGGTCGCTGTGAATCTCTATTGGTCTCTATGGGTTTACTACGCGGCCCATATGTTTGGGTTTTATTTTCCATCCACGAAGGAGATGTGCGCATGGACCTGCTGCTGTTGCTGATGATGATAATGTTCTAACGCGGATGATGGTAACACCGGATGGGTCCCCTTTAAAGCGACGACGTCACCCTCATTTTCCGTGCGGTTTCAACAAAGCGAACGTCTTCGACTTTGACTTTTGCCCACGGGACGCATCGCTCGCCTCTCCAAGTAACCGGGAATCCAACGATGGCTTTACATTGCCGCAGCAAGGGGTTCTTTTTGGCGTTGGCATTTTGCAGATTTATAATCGAAAGGAGCTGCGGGAGGAGGGAGGGGGGTGGGGGGTAACAAAATATATTTAATTAGTATCGTTTTACAAAACAAAAAAGGAGAAAGAAGATAAAGTCCAAGAGTTGTTAGGGGGAGGGAAGGGGAGGAAGATGTTGGCTTCATGATTGATCTGTGCAGCATTGCTACAGCATTGCTGTGTAACTGTCACGAGTTATCAAGAGCGTGCAGCCTGCTGCTGTGCAATTGCTGTGTGTGTGTATGTTTGTGTGTGCCGTGTTGTCGTGGTTAAGTGCACTGCACCACGAACCCGGCGACTCGAGTTCGATTCCCGCTCATGGTCAACAGCAGTGACGATTATCTGAACCGGTCCTGGGCCTCCCCTTGGTCGACTCAACCTCAAATAAGTACCTGGTGCGGTGTGTAAACATCGCCACTGGGGAGACAAAGGCGGTCGAGCGTGGTGCTGGCCACCCACCGTTCCGGCCTTCATAGGTGTTCGCTAGGAGCACTTGCCCCGACAGTCTGTCACGGCTATACGGGGGATCTTTGTCTTTGTGTGTGCATGTCTATGTGTACATGGCCTTCATAGGTTGCCAACATTAGTTGTCCTAATAGCTTTTGTAGGCTATTTTGGAGATATTTACCTGCATATGCATCTGTGCGTACATGTGTGTGCGGGTGGGTGTCAGAGTGGGGAACACAAGTGGTGTATCTGCCAGTTACCTTAGTCAACCCAGAGCACATGGGTCTGTCCCGTGACCTCCTGCCAGCCAGCCTTTCATGCTTCACGTGACCTCAAAGTGAACCTAGTCTGGCACAAGCGCCGTGAGGACGTCACCGTCACTTAGTGGCGAATGGTGGATGTTGTTGTTGTGTGTGCGTGTGAGTGTGTGAGGTTAACTCGGCATTAAGTGAGTGCCGGGTGCGGTGAGTAAACATCATCACTTGGGAGACAAGAGCGACCGGGCGTGGTTTAAGCCGCACCACTCCGGCCTTCGTAGATTCTCGCTAACAGCACTTTCCCCAACAGTCTATAATGCTACCAGGGGGATCTTTGTCTATGTATTCGTGTTTGTGTGCACGCGGGAGTGGTGGTGCATTGGTTAACAGGGCGGCCAAAAGGTTTTTGGAGGCCCGAGGAAAAATGTCAGATTAGACCTCCTTTGGGGCCCCCTTTGGATCGAGGCCTGGGGCAAACTGCCCCACCCCCCTTGCCCCCCCCCCGTCCACCGCCCTTGTGTGGCCCTGGCAGTCGGTGCACTGCGCCAAACCCCGTCAACCTAGGTTCAATCCCTGGCAGTAGCTGGCCCAGCCCTGGGCCTCCCACGTACCCGAACAGTCTCTCGGGAAGAAACCAAAAAACGCGGTGCTGGCCACCCACCCCCGCCGTGTGCCGTACTCCGCCCTCAATCGGCGCTACCCGCTAACAGGGCCCTGCTCCTGCTCCAACGGTGCGTTAAAGGCTACGGTTGGAGGTGTTGGGGGGGATTTTTGCCATAGTTTTGTCGCGGTTGTGACAGGCGACGCGCGCCCACGCAACCCCCTTGATGAGTGACCCACCGCCGTCTCGGAGCCATTCGCAGGCCGGCTCCTCGACCGAACACCGACCGTGGCCAGCGCCGGGCACACAACAACAAAAACTCAAACCCGGACACCGTCTTCCCTGGGCACCCCCCACCCCCACCCCACGTTCCTCCGGGCCACATCTGCGTGCGCAACACTCGGCCGAACTAACGCCCGCGTGATGCAGCCGTCCTTGCGATCCACATTGCTCCAGGTCACATTTCTCACTCTTTTCCTCTCGCTCGCTCGCTCGCTCGCTGGTTGCGTCGTAGGCTGGAGAACACAGAAAATCCATTACGAGGACCCTGATATGAACCGGCCACACTCTGCGAGCGCGATTCCCTGGTGGATATTTGGGGCGTGGGTGGGTGGTGGGGTTGGATTTGTTGTGGGGAAGGGGGGGCAGATTGTCACGTACAACCCCCCGCGCTGGGCAACGGGGGCACTTATTTGGGGAGCCCTAAAGTGGCGACTTCTCAGCACCTCCGCTTGACTCAGAACCCCGCTCGTCCGTGCGACCGCGTCCCAGCCTCACGGTGGGCGCGGCACTCACTGGCGGCCCTCTGGCTCGTGGCTCTGGTCGCTCAGGCCGACGCAGGGGCAGCAGCGGAGCGCGGCAACTCCGGGGTCGTCGACTGCACCAGCAGCAGCAGCGGCGCCGCCAGCAGCAGCAACAGCAGGAGCCCGCGGGGGTCCGGGCGCGGCGTCGTTCCCGAGCCGCAGCCGGCGGCGCCGCCGCCGCGGCAGCTGCTGCTGCGCTCCTCGCAGAGCGCGCCCGAGTAGCCGGGCGCGCACGCGCAGCGCTGCCGGTCGCGGCACTCGCCGCCGTTCTGGCAGCGCAGCAGCTCCTCGTCGCACGCGTTCTCTAGAGGGAGGGAGGGGAGGGAGACGAGGGAGGGAGACGGGGGAGGAGGGTGACGAGAGAGGGAGATGAGGGGGGGGGAGGGTGAGGAGAGAGGGAGGGTGACGAGGGGGGAGGGAAATGAGGGGAGGGGAGACGAAGGAGGGAGATGAGGGGGGAGGGAAGGAGACGAGGAAAGAGGGTGACGGGGAGGGAGATGAGGGAGGGAAGGATGGAGACAAGGAAGGAGGGTGACGAGATAGGGAGGGAGGGAGACGAGGCAGGGAGGGACATTCACACGCGTATTCAAGTGCCGGTTATTGCCTTAGGAACGATTTGGCCGAACAGAGTGAACCCCGAAGGCGATCTCAGTGCCAGCAGAGGAAGGAGCTGGTCCGACCTGGCCGCGTGCGAGCGTGCCCACAGCCAGGTCGCTTATTAATCATAATAATATCTATTTAATTGTGATGTATAATTTACACGGGACGGTTGTCGTTGGAGACAAAGGAGATCCTCCTCGCGAGGGGTCGCCTCAGAGATGAAAGCTGCCGCCGCGTCCCAGAATGACTTCCCCTGTGCCGCCACCGGATGCTGATCTGACCTTTAAATGCTGCGACATTGCGATGTTGCACAAGCGAGTATACAGCAAGCAGCAGCACCACCGCATATCTGCCGCAACTATGTAGTTACGATGGACTGTAGGTCGGCCCATGAATGTGTAGCTACGTGGATCATGCTAATTGTGGATTAAATTAACTATCGACAGAAATTCTACCCACAATGCAATGTGCCAGAATTTTTTTTATAATTTTACTTACAATGCGAATACGTTTATTTAGAAATACGTTTTCGATAATAGAATGATGTATCTGTTACTCAATAATAGGTAACTGTTTAATTTACCGTTAATCAGAAAACCTTAATTAGAAATGTCATTTTAATTAGGGACCCACTATGAAATACAGTCCCAAACTCCTATCCGCTCCAGCCCTCTGGCCACTCTATTTTACGTGCCGTGAAGAAGGGCCCTTGACCGAAACGTCGACTATTATATACTTTCCCTTTTACAGCCACAAACGGTGTCATTAACGAATATGTGGAGAGTTTTAGGCTACTAAACTACGACAAACTATGTTTTATGTTACCAGGTAAGGCCCACTGACCTACACAGCTCTTTATCAGAAGCGACCTGCCCACAAATGATAGCTCAACGAAGTGGCTTATCGCGTGGAAATGTATAGCAGCCAAATACTCTAAACATATGTTTCAAATTCCACGCGAAAACGGGGAGAACATACAAACTCCAAATATAAAGGCGTCGTCAGGGTCGGGGTCGAACCCACAACCTCCTGTGTACCAGGCGAGGCAGTTCACATCTCATAACCACCGCTGCGATGGTCACGAACACCCTGACCAAGGTCGAGGTGTTCGTGCCCATGCCGTCTCTCCCCCTCTTAGATCTCGCGGTTGTTTACAGAGTCGCCGTTTCTACCTTCACGGTCTCATCAAGGTCACCATCTCTGGCTTCGGGTCACCGCCCGCTGTGCTCACCGATCTCCGCGTGGCACTCCGCTGGCCGCTCCCGATGGCGCTATCGCCGTCTTTTGTTGTTGTTGTTGTTGATGGAGGTGTCGATTATTTACGTGTTGTTAGCGGCGTTTTCATTAGCCCGGTGCAATGTAGTGGATTTCGTTTGCACTGATATCTGGGTAATTGGCGTCGCTCAGGGGGCGGCCGATACGGTATCTTGTTCGAGTAACATTTCGTGGTAATTTTATTTTTTGTTAATTTGGGGCTGTTGTGACAACACACAAACACACAACGTAACGACCTCAGTCTTGTAGATCGTGATGATGTCACGCGATATTGCGTGTCGACTTTGCAGTTAGCGGTGTTAGGTTTTGCAAACACCCCCCCCCCACCACCTCCTCCTCCCCCAGAGCTTGAATTGATGTAAACAGAAGAGTAAAGGTTATACAGGTAAAGGCGCAGCCCGTCAATTTCTCGCTCAGGCCAATGCTGGCGGAAAGAGCCTCCACTCAATGGAGCTCGGGAGAGCCCCCTCGAGAGCAGTACTTGGCCTACTCTACTTCAAGTGGGGGGGGGGGGTGATTGTTTAACCAGGTGAGAACTCAAGAGACCAGGGGTAGAGTCTCATTTGCAACGGTGATCCGGGTCACCAAGTTGACGAAAGCAAAAACAAATAAAAGTGCGGCGATGAAGTGAACAGCGATGAGACCGAACACTAAACCACAATCACAAAAAGAAGCACATTTTTTTCTTTCGAATTCGGTATAAAAAAAAATCTCAATATTTCAAGAACAGCAATGCATGCGGACAACGTCACGGGGCAGTCCTTAAAGAGCCGCACGCGTTCCTGAGCTAAAGCAGTCGAAAATATCGCAAACAACGATCAACGTTAAAGCAAAGCTGAATATTCAATTCCCCCCCCTCCTACCACCCCTTACCCCCAGTGCAAATCGGCTGGGGTGGGTTATTCGTCCACGCTATAACCAGACGTGCTGGCAGAGGCAGGGGTTACCCACACGTGGCCACACCACCGCCATGGAGCCGCTGCGGCGAGGCCGCGTGCACCAAATTTTTATATTTAAACCGCTAACTTATTCAACAATCTCCGGCGTTCACCCGCTGTGCGGAATTAAATAAGAAAATACCGCGTAACATTTTCGATGCGCAATGCTGGACGTCCTTTGCGTCATCGTTGTTTTAATCTCGGTGAGGAGAGCAAAAAAGAATTAATTCGCCGAAACACTTTTTTCCCCCTTTTAAAAGAAGAAGAGAGAACACTTAGTCTGGCTGAGCGAGCAAGAAGATCTGGCGGCCTCAAAATAATAAATAAATGAATAGATTCCGGCCCACGCTCTACAAGACAAATGCATCATCCCCGCGAGACCCTGGCGGGAAGGGCCCGGGGTCGCCCTTCGTCACCCAGACAGCCGCGGCGGGGTGCTGCTGTGGCGAGCTGTTAACTACCTCGCCCGGTATGCAGGAGGTCGTGGGTTCGAACCCGAGCCTGATGACTGCTGTATATTTGGAGTTTGCGTGTCTCTCTTTCTCCCCGTGGTCGCGTGGATTTTTCTCCGGGTCCCTCCGGTTTTTCCCTCCACATTTAAAATCGACGTGCTTTCAGAGTTATGTGGCTGCTATACATTTCCATGTGATAAGCCACTTCGTTGAGCTATCATTTGTAGCCAGTTGCGTCTGAAAAAAGGTCAGTGGGCCTAACCTGGTAAAATAAAAATAGTTTAGTTTTATAATTCATAATGAAGTTTTTTTCGTGTTACACCGCGTAAATTTAAATGTGTCGTTAACCCGCCACCACCTGACACAGCCAATTAGTAAAGATTGTCACTTGAAACAAAACGTGCCAATTAGATAATGACTTCAGCCCACCGGTGTGTTGGAGGGTAAATCCACAACATTTACAATTTGAGACCGACGTTTCGCTGGTAATTACAGCTCTATAGCTCAGTGGACCTTACCCAGTAAAATAGAAAGAAAAAAATCTAAGCCGACACGAGTCCATCGGCGCACGGAAACTGGCTTTGCTAGACGTCGATTACGTCAAAGGCTCTGCGCTTGCCCAACGCATTAACCCTGCTCTGACCGTCTGTCTATCTGTCCGGCTGTCTGTCCATCTCGCCTTTCACATCGGGGGGGGGGGGGCACAGTAACTCCTGTGACGATGCTCCAATACAAACGAAACTTGAGCGTACATTTTACGCTGCTATTCGGCAGTCGCCCGATTGAAATCTGGCCACGCTGATCAAAAGGGGGGTTGGCCACAAGCTTGCGGACGCAAGGAGGTTGTACAAACACTCGCTAATTGGCTGAACACATCGTCACATGTCGAGCACTTGGGGAGCTCGTTGGTGGTTCCTCGGCGATTGTGAGATGCAATTTGCTACGAACGACGCGGCTATATAAAACTAAACATCATTAAAGAGACTCAATTGCAAGCACGCAAATCCATTTTTCCCTCACGGCACTACCCGTCCACTTCCGCACTGCCAATTGAACATTTCCGAGAACAACCGCGCATTGCGAAGCGTTGCACTGTGCACACTTGCGAAAGAAACCCCCCTAAAAACCCGTAGCATTGTATTTTTTAAACAGAATCAGAATATGTATTTAAACTAGAGGATTCCGACGGGCTACGAAGCTCTCTTTCACAAACGCCCAGTGTACACCTTGCGCCACCCGTCGCCTTCTCACCTGGCCGTGCGTTCCCTCGCACCGCGCACAGAACGCCTCCTGGGAGGCCAGCCGAGTGGCCCGCGAGATCAACAATTCGCGCCCTCGCCACCCGTGCTCGGAAACCCACCGAGCGAAATTGCCCAACGCAATTGTCGCCCTCCCGCCCGCAAGCTGCTCGCTCGCTCGCTCGCTCTCGCAGAAACACCCGATGGGGCCTCGTCCTGCGGCCACCGCTTTTGTCGCCGAGTAAACAAAACAAGAGACGTGGCCGAATCCATATTCGGGGTCCCGCGGGGAGCCTCAGCGGGAGACCAGGTGAGCGGGCGGGCGAGCCAGGGAACGGCTCGTAATCGGAAAGGTTGCAAATTTCGAAGCAGGTGTAGGTTGTGGTGCGGATGAAAGGGGGAGGGGGGTTGACTCGGGCAATTATCCTATCCCTCCGGGGTCGATAAACTCAGTACCACTTTTTCATTGAAGCCAACGGTCATTACCCGATGTAAATATTTGCCCCCGCAATATAAATGTGGAATTTACATCACTGGCTCCGCAGAGTTATGAATGGGAGATGATCACCAATCCCTCGGTGCTCATTTGAGCAGCATGTGCCATGCTGGCCTTCATAGGTGCACGCTAAGAGCACTTGCCTCTCTCTCTCTGTAATCTACGAGGCTGACCGCGTGCATCTGTGTAGTTGTCGGCAGGAATATTTTAATCCATCCGTCCACATTGCCTGCAAACAATGACAACTCTTTTGAGCCAAATCGAGCCATCGCCGCCCCATTGTGCAGCGCAAGCGTGGGGGCAAAATGAAGAAGGGGGGGCCTCTGCCTTGGCGGAGATTAGGAACAAATAACAACAAAAACAAAATGCGAGGCATAACAAAATCCGTTTATCGTCATGCAAATTACAACCGTCGTCGCTACTTGACCGCCGTTCCGGGATTATCGGTCGGCGAGAAAATTGCCAAACGATGCGACGCGGTCCGGACAAAAGGAGCGGAGCCGAGACTCCAAGAGCCACCTTCCGCCGTGGCCTCAGGTCATTTGCATTTTGTGATAAAGGCCCCGACATTTTATGAGCGGGCGGGCAACAGAGTAAATATTAAATTAAACGATGCGTTTTTTGTGTGTGTGTCTGCGTAAATTATTGAATGCGCGCGTAACTCAGTCGCGATGAATTAGTAATGCGGAACTACTTATTTTATTATTATAAATGCGATTATAATTACAAGTATAGTGCGCAAGTTGCGAACGTCTATAACTGCGGCATGATATTCACGAATGCCCCCCCCCCCCCAACCCACGTGGGCCATCCTTCACAGGGCCCCACAGGTATAAGTGTGAGAGTGGTGATGCCACATGTGGATTGTGTGCAGGACAGTCCACCGGAACTGCCTGTTGATCTCTGATGTCCTCAGGACTGGTGTCTGTCTGTCTTTGAGTCTAGCGGTTAGCGCGCTGCGCTACGAACCCGGCCACCCAAGTTCGATTCGCGCTCACGGCCAACACCGGTGACAATTATCTGCACCGGTCCTGGGCCTCCCCTCGGTCGACCCAGCCTCAAATGAGTACCTGGTGCAGTATGTAAACATCGCCACTAGGGAGACAAAGGTGGCATGTGGTGGTGCTGGCCACTGACCCTCACGTGTGCAGCTCCGACCTTCATAAGTGCTCGCTAACAGCTCTTGCCTCAACAGTCTGTTAAGGCTATACCGGGGATCTTTGTCTTTTGTGAGTGGTCTGCCACAGAAACGCTAAGTGCCTCTACTCGTGGGAGCTCTAGAAAGCCCCTTCCAGAGGCTATTTTGGCCAACTCTTCTACGTCTGCTAGACATCTCAGAATACGTGGGAGTACCTACACTTTACCCCACCGCACGCGACCTGCCCATCAACAGCGAGGTACCCATTGCTACGCTTGGAAGGATTCAAGAAACTCGCCCCCATCGTTTCAACTGGTCGCTATCCGTTTACACCGCGGCACCCATTCAAGCTTTGTATTCAACATTTTTCCGTAAAAAAACAATGCAAACCAACTACATGGGAAACGCATTCCTTCTTCAGATGTCCCTTAAATGCCACTGTAAGTTGAAAACTGCGATGGTGTCAGTGGGATGACTAAGTGCGGGATCGCGATGCGTCGCCATATTAGTTGCGAGGACATAAAAATGGCCTCCAAAAGCACGTGCCCGCGTCAATGTTGCGACTCGGAGAACAAAGGTGTCAGACTCTGCGACAGGGGCGGGGGGGGGGCACCTCCTGCTGGCCATTCGACGCCCTCTCATTAATTAGCACAAAACACGTGCCTGGGAGGGGGGGGAGCCTGAGGGGGAGGGGGGTTGCTCAGCGCTGGCCGGCGTGAGACATTCTCCAAACTATTCCTGGCGTGCCAAACATCGCGAACGCTGGTCCGCAGGCAACTCGTGTCGGATCTGCAACCTAGCCACACTTCTTCTTCATCTGCTTTGTTTTGGAACCCGACGTGTCGTCACGTGAACACCTCGCCGCGTTGGTGAGATGTTAACTCCCTCGCCTGGTATGCAAGAGGTCGTGGGTTCGATTCCGACCCTGACGCCTGCTGCTGTATATTTTGAGTCTCTCTCCCCGTGGTCGCGTGGATTTTTCTTCGGGTCCTCCGTTTTTTTCCCTCCACGTTTAAAAACGTGCATTGAGAGTATCTGGCTGCTATAAATTTCCAGGCGATAAGCCACTTCGTTGAGCTATCATTTGTGACCAGGTTGCTTCTGAAAAAGAGCTACATAGCTTAGCGGGCCTTACCTGGTAAAATAAAAAAGTAGTTTGGTTAAGTTTTAACCGAACGTGCGCGTTTTGTTGGAGCCACGATTATAATTCATTCAGGGTCCTTGGGTTGGGCCGGCGTAGTTATCTGTGTCGTAGACCCACCCACCACCTTACGTAGCCAAACAGGTGAAATTGTCACGTGTATAGTTCAAACGTGTGATACAGATGGCGACAGCTTGTAGAGGCCTTCGTCCAGAGATTAATTTCGGATGGCTGATGATGATGGTGATCGAAAGAAAATAATAGCACGTGAAGCCAATAGTGCAGCGCCCAAAGTGTGGATAAGAAGTCACTTGAAGGGAACTCAGAAGCAGCTCTCTGATATCTTCTTGTGCGGACAGTTCTCCAACATGCGGCGATGCGCTGGTCTGCACGAGATCCGAGCAGACGCATCATCCCGCGGCACGACTGGAGGGCACCAGTGAGAAACGCCAAAAGGTGCGATTGGCTTTTTATAAAATCTAATTTGGTTGCGTGCAGCTCGGGAATTGTCGCATTCGGTCCCGGCTCCTACTCCAGTCAGAGCGTCGGGGATACTCCATCTGGAGCTTTCACTCCCACCGTCCTCACCCCCCCCCCCCCCCCATCCTTCCCCGACTTCTGACACCACAAATGAAACACCCAGACACACGCATCGCCCAGACGAAAATCCCAGGGGACCATCGCCTTTCCATTCGCCTGCCGAGATGTTATTGTCCCCTGGGCTGCTGAAAATTTCTTGCTAAGTTCTGTTGCCAAAACTTTTAGGCCTCCCATTTTCAAGCAGTGTTTTTTTCATGTGTGTCCCTTTCATGCTGTACTATACAGTATATAAAACCGGTAAAGAGCCATCCCCCCCTCTCTCTCCCCGCTCCTCCCAACCCTGCCACCAACTCCCCACACCTGCCGATTCAACCTTTAAGACCGCTGGCGCATGTGCCGTCTGCAAGCTCCTATTTCGGCTGCGGTGCACGCCTCGTGCTGCGGGGGATCAACTTGAACCGGCGACCTCTTTGGATTGCAGGCGCGCCGCTGGCTGTGGGCAGAATCGGGCCACGAGATGGTAACTTGCGAATCTCACGGCAAAAAAATCTCTGGCCACGGAACTCTTTCCCAACACCGCCACCCCGGTCTTCCGTTCGCTCTGCAGAGTCTGGGTTCGATATTCTTGGTTTTTTCGATAAAGTCACGTACAAGGGAAATAATAAATAATAAAAATAAAACATAATAAGATAAAATTCTCACGACTTTTCGGCCACAACGCAAGCAGACGTCCTCAGGTGAAGACGTGACTTTACCGAAAGAACCAAGAATATGAATCCATGCAGTCACGAAAGCTTTAAATCGAAAAAAATCTGGGTTCGATGTAAAAACTAAAACCAAACTATTATTTTTAATTTCAACAGGTAAGGCCCGCTGAGCTATGTGGCTCTTTTTCAGAAGCGACCTTGGCCACAAATTACAGCTCAATGAAGTGGCTTATCACGTGGACATTTATAGCAGCCAATTACTCTAAACGTGGAGGGGAAAAACCGGAGGACCCAGAGAAAAATCCACGTGACCACGGGGAGAGAGAGCATGCAAACTCCAAATAAACAAGCATCGTCTGAGTAGGGATTGAAGCCTCGACCTCCTGCATACCAGACGAGGTAGTTAACATCTCGCCACCGCAGGGCCCCACTACGTAACCTTCAGCGCCAGACGCAGAGGAGGAGCCCCGCCGATGACCGAGCAACTTTCGCGGACTGACGATTCCGTCAACGGAAATCTACGCACTAGGCGAGCGAGCAGCGACAGGCGAGTTTGGGGGTGGGGTGCGTGGGAGAGAGGCAATGGTGGTGGTGGAGGTGGACGGCATCCTTTACGTCAAGTAAAAAAAAAAACGCGCGTATATTCAACAACAACAAAAGTGTGGGAGATCAAACGTGACGGGCGTGAATTCTCGAAGGTAATTCGAGGAGGGAGGGGGGAAGCATTCGGGGAAACGCGAGCGGCTGGCATCGCGAGCAGGTTGGGAGAGCGGTGGCCGGGGGAGAGCGACAGGGTGAGAGCATTGGCCGTCTCCTCTCGAGTGTCGCGCCGCGCTGGGTGGAGAGGCGGGCGATGGCTCGGCTGCCGAGTCCCTCTGGCTCAGAGCCACCGTGGGGTGACTCCTCACACTGGTTTGCCCGTCTCCTCTCCAAGGGGAGGGTCTGCATCAGAGGGACACTCAACTTGCTGCAGTGTTTCGTGATAAACAAAAAAAGGCCCAAAGTGATTCCCTGCGTCAAATGAGCATCGAGGCACTGGTTGGCACCTCCTGTTAACGGACAATAGCCAATGGTGGAAATTCCACATTCCTATGGTGAGAGAGCAAATCTATCCGTCGGACAACCACTCTTGACTTCTCCACAATGCGGTACTAATTTTATCGACCCTGGAAGGATGATGAGCCGAATCAACCTGCCCCCCCCCCCCTCTCCATACAAAATTTGAACCCCGGGGTTGATTTTAGCAGGAAATCACTTTTGAGGTGGCGATTCTCACCCCTTTGCTTACAAAATCAAACTTCCCAGTGTCTTATCCCCACGGCGGCAGCTCCGGCACACAGAAGTCGCGCGTTATGCCCCCTTCCTCGACACCGCTGAGAGATGTGCGGCGTCGGCCCAGGGCCTCGCCACGGGACCCCCGCTCCCCCCGGCGTCGCGGTGGTGTGCGCGGTGCGTTCGTCTGCCGGTGCGGTGCGATGGGGGAGAGACTCACGCTGGCAGCCGCGGTTCCAGTAGTAGCCGGCCAGACACTCGCCGCACTTGAGGCCGCTCGTGCCTTCCTTGCACTCGCACTGCCCCGTGCCGTTGCAGCGATCGCCCGCCGAGCCGAATGGGTTGCACTCGCACGCTGCAAAGGCGCGAGACACGGGGCGGTTAGCGTCCGATCGCCTCCAACTTTTCACCGGCGAGCGAGCAGTGGCATGGCAGCAAGAGCGGTTCGTGTGAACGCTGTCCGAAGAGGTCACAGATTTGGCGCAACGGTCCTTTGGTGACTCTGCGTGATCAATGAATGAATGAGCTGAAACAGTAATGGGGGGGGGGGGCGGCGCACGCACGCACACGGATGCACACACGTGTTCCGTTTGTTCTTTGGCTAGGTTGGGTTGGTGGGCGAGGTGTCTTAGGACGTGCATTGTACCTGGCCAAATCCTTACGCGCCCCTCCCACCCCCCTCACCCACCCTCCCCCCCGGGTCTAAAGGCCATTCATCGTTGTAAAATCCGCGACGTTGGCTTCGAAAGCCGACTGCGTGTCGACGCGAACAAAACAGCCGACGCGAACACTACCACGTGTGCAGCGGACGCGTGGCGGCGTGCACGTGACGCCCGTTAGGTGCAATCGAGATAGTTTGGTTGAAAATAAAACAAAAATGTCGGAAGTAAAATAGTACCATCTTCGATCGAATCGTGACCCTGAATCATGACAATTGATCAAACCATTGGGTGGGTGGGTGGGTGCATAGATGCGTGGGTGGGTAGGTGGCTGAGTCGCTCGGTGGGATTGTTACATGACTCACTGCTCTTAGCTCGACATCAGCTGCTACACTCCTGGGATGGGGGATGGGGGGGAGGTAAAGCAACTTAAGCGAATTGTTTATTGCCCTAAGTCGATACAGACCCAAGGGGAACGTTTCGCTTATTGCAGCCGTCCGGAGAGCTCTCGCACTCGGGACGAACGATCGTCGAAAAAGTAATCCCTGCTCAGCCGGGAGAGGGCCTTGCTGAGAATCGAGAAAATGTTCGGAAGAGAGGCCCGAAGGGAAAGACGACGGTTTGGGTCGCACCGCGCGCGGGTCCGGGCCGGTGCCTGACGTTAGGCGGTTCCTGGAGAAGCCCCCCCCCCCCCCCCCCCCCCCCGGCGTCTGGAGCGAAACATCGGACACCGTGCCGAACGACGAGCGGCGACGACCGATCGACGCAAGTCGGAGAGCTGCGCGGCCAGCGGCGCAACCGCAAGAAAAGCCCAAGGAGCCCTTCAGGTAATTAATTGATACATATATATGTATATGAATTCTAATATTTCACCTGTAAAATGTCTTTAGATGGAACATCTCAATTTGTAAGAGGGCCGAGGGTGGTGATTGATCCGTACTGAGCAAACACGTAATGGCACTTCTGCAAACATTTTACATCTAAAACGTAGACATTATTTATATATACAATGAACATCACACCCCGTCAGATCCATTAAAACATACTGATTTATTGATCGATACTGGACGTGATTGGCCAGTTCCTCTTTCGAGTAGAATTTCGCATCTAGGATGGAATCCAGAGTTCCTGGAGAAAACCCGCGTATGTGGTAAGAGGGGATAACACTTAAACTCCGTACGGAGAGGTTAGCAAAAGGGATGTGGTCCCATTTTTCTGTATTAATTTGAAAAAATCTGCCCTTGCGATGATCTTTCAGGCAATCCCAAAAGTTTTTATTTTGTTTTCGGATCCGAGAGTATGACGTCACAGGAAATGACATCACACATTCCATCACTGCCATGCTTTCACGGGGGTAATATCCTGTGGCCTGTGGTGACCTCACTTTTGTCAGCACGAAGACACGTTGCATTATTGCAGGAGGTGACCCAAGACTAAAAATCGTCCTCAAAAAGTAAAAATTCCAAACTTTGAAACTCATCGCTAGTTAGCAACCTACTTATCCTACTGCAGAATCAAACGCATTATCCGGTGATGCTGCTGCTGAATTGGCAGTGGTGCACAAGCACAAACAACACGCAAAAAGCTCAACACATTCATCAATAACACGTTTTATGAAGCAGGGCCGCTGCCCAAAACGTCGCCTATTTTAGGCTGAGACGACCTAGGGGGAGGCCCGGAGACTGGTTCAGATAATCGTGCATTGGTGTTGGCCGTGAGCGGGAATCGAACTCGGGTTGCCGGGTTCATAGCGGCAGCGCGCTAACCGCTGCACCACCACTCCCCTACACCTACACGAACTGGGACCTAGTAGGTGTAGATCGGATGGAGTCTGTGAGACGGTAGTGGTGGTGGACTGGTAGGTTCACGGTGGCTAGGAGATGTTAACTACCTGGCCTCGTATACAGGTCGTGGGTTCGATCCCGACCCCGACACCTGCTGTATATTTGGAGTTTGTACGTCTCTCTCCTCGTGTATTTTTCTCCTCCTTTTTTTCCCTCCACGTGTTGAATCAACATCACGCGTTTAGAGTCTTTGGCTGCTATAAATATCCACGTGATAAGCCACTTCGTTGAGCTATCATTTGTGGCCAGGTCGCTTCTGAAAAATAGCTACATAGCTCAGTGGACCTTACCTGGTAAAATACAATAACAGTTTAAAGTTTAGTCTGGCAACATACTTAACGTCTCGAATCGCTCCTAATTTAACAAAGAACTCGTGCGCTTTGATGGGTGCATTCACGGTGCGGTGAAATTAATGTCGGAGAAATCCTTCAAGGGGCTCGCCTCGGTTTATAACAACACCTAAATTAATTCCTCTCCCCAAAACACACAGACAAGAACAGCAACAACAAATAATTCTGATGACAAAAAAGTATTGGACAGCGCGCCAATGTGGCAACACCGACGCTGCCGTTAAAGCTCGAAAAGGCAAATCGAGCGAGACTGGGGGGCAGCGTCGTGAGAGCAGCTGACGAGGAGGGGCAGGGGGTGGGGGGCGTGAAACAAACTGCGGAGTGGAAGCGGAGACAGAAGGGGAAGACAAGGGCGCGGAAGAGGCGGCAGTGAGACGCGGACGACGGAGTTCAGAGGTTACGACTGGACCGCAAAAACTGACGGTACACTCTATCCCTGGTTGTGTCTGTGTGTATGTATGTTTGGGGGGGGAGCGGTGGTGTAGCGATTAGCGCTACGCTGCGCTACGAACTTGACGACCCGGGTTCGATTCCCGCTCACGGCCAAGACTAGTAACGATTATCTGAACCGATCTTGGGCCTCCCCTAGGTCGACTCAGTCTCAAATGAGTACCTGGTGCGATGTATAAACATTCACACTAGGGAGACAAAGGCGGCCGGGCGTGTTGTTGGCCACCCACCCCCTCGTGTGCCGTGCCGGGCTTGAAAGGTGCTCGCTAACAGTACTTGCCCCTATAGTCTGTAGGGCTACACGGGGGATCTTTGTCTTTGTATGCATGTTGAACTTCCTTCCCACCGTACGTAGCCAACCACGATAATTATAGGTGCGGGGGCAGAACAACAAACTAAACGCAAAAAGCAGTTCTAAAAAAATGGGGTTTCAATCCAGAATTAGAATTGCATAGCTCCAGAGGATTCCTAATATCAAAAAAAGTCGAATTACATATCATCACAACACTGACTTCAAACTTTCGTGACTGCAAGAATTCATATTCTATGGTTCTTTCGGTAAAGTCACGTAGACGCAGTGCAGCGGTTAGCGAAATAACCATAGAATAGTCACAATACTGTTTGTTTACGTGAATGTTGTCCACAGCCGAGTTCTCATTTGTGCCACGTTCAATTTGGAGGTGATCTGCCCGAGCCGATTTGCGCTGCGGGGAAATTGTTCGTTTCGTTAGTTTCTCAATCCGCTTGTCCTGGTGAGAGTAACGGCGGCAGCGTGTTGAGAAAGGTGGTCCAGACCTCCCTTTCCCCGGCGATAGACTCCAGCACTACATTACCATATACTCTTACACTACGCTATTCACTACATTACTACACGATGCACTACTACACATTACTATACACTACGAAATTCACTACACTAATGCACACCATACACTACGCGACTGCTATACACAGACCTCAACTCTCCCTGGGGAATTCCCAGACGTTCCCAGGCCCGCCGAGCGACATCGTCCCCCCGCCAGCAGCAGCGTGGTCCTGAGCCGCCCCCGGGGTCTTCCCCCAGTGCGACGTTGCTGCTGCCCGGTAGAGTTCCAGGGGAAGTCTACCGGGGGGGCATCATTACCAGGTGCCCGGAATTTTATTCTGCTATATTTTCAATTCGTCATCGCGTGATATATATTATCAATTGTTTTTTGTTCTCTGGCCATTCCGGCTGAGCCAGATCACTCTTTGCAAATGAGACTTTTGAATGTTCGCCTTGTTCAACAAGTTCAACTTGAACCTTAAACCTGAGGAACGTTCCCTTGACTTAGGGTTGAAACAGAATTCGCTTAAGTTGTTTGACCCACCCTCCCGCCCGCCCCCTCGTCCAAGGCGCGTAGCAGCCGATGTCGAACTCAGAGCAGTCAGGCACGTAACAATTCCACCCAGCCACCCACCCACCCAATGGTTCGATCAATTGTCATGATTCATGGTCACGATTCGATCGAAGAACCAAATATTTGACTTCTGACACTTTCGTTTTTCTTCCCACCAAGTGTCTCTCGATGGCGCCTAACGTGCGTCACGGGCACGCCGCCAAGCGTCCACTCCGCGCGTGGCGTCGTTCGCGCGGCTCTTTTTGTTCCGATTGAAACGGAAGAAATGAATGGGAGAGAATGGGGGAAGGTGGGTGGGTGGGGGGGCCTTTGCCAAGCTGTGGAAAGTTACTGGCTGACAACAACAACAACAACAGCAGCTGCAACAACAACAACAAAACAAACTGCCTAATGACTAAAAACCCGACGCTTCTGCCGGGGTACTGGGAGACGTAATGGGGCCCCGCTGTTGGCTTCTTAGCGAAGTGCCCCTCCCCCCACCCCCGCGCCCCAGCTTCCAGGGGAGCCACCTTAATCGCATCATTGCGAGCAAACAGAGTTGAAAATTGCCACGTTAAAATACTGTGACGGCGGCGGCTGCGCTTCTCGCGCTCAGTATGCGCGCAATGTGCTTGGGGGGCAGAGAGCTCAGTGGCTCCGTGGCTGCTGGTCAGGCGATGCTCACGGCGAAGGTTAAGGCGCGGCCCCTGCAATGTCTCGCTCACGCCACTGCTGGCGGAAGTGCCCACGTACTTGGAGGGAGCTCTAAAGTGCGCTTCCTCCTATTCATATTCTTTGGGTCTTTCGGTAAAGTCACGTAGATGGGTTCAAAGAAAATAACATAATAGCAAAAAACTACGACGTTTCGATCGCAACACAAGCGGCCGTCATCAGGATATGTGGAGTTAGCTTCTAAAGACAACTGCTTATAAAGGTTTGAAATTGCCGTAGCCCAAATGTCAGCTGCCAATGCAAGTGGTGGGCAGCGGCCGCGGCGGTGGTGGGCTTTCCACCAATCAAAGGGCTGCCAGGCAAAAAATTTGCATGTCAATGCAAGATCGCAGAGCATCCTCCACGGCGTGCGTGCCAAGATGACTATGTTAATGTGAGAGATGAGCATGTTAATGTGAGAGATGAGCATGTTAATGTGAGAGATGAGCGTGTTAATGTGAGAGATGAGCATGTTAATGTGAGAGATGAGCATGTTAATGGGAGAGATGAGCGTGTTAATGTGAGAGATGAGCGTGTTAATGTGAGAGATTAGCATGTTAATGTGAGAGATGAGCATGTTAATGTGAGAGATGAGCGTGTTAATGTGAGAGATTAGCGTGTTAATTTGAGAGATGAGCGTGTTAATGTGAGAGATTAGCATGTTAATGTGAGAGATGAGCATGTTAATGTGAGAGATGAGCATGTTAATGTGAGAGATGAGCATGTTAATGTGAGAGATGAGCGTGTTAATGTGAGAGATGAGCATGTTAATGTGAGAGATTATCATGTTAATGTGAGAGATTAGCATGTTAATGGGAGAGATGAGCGTGTTAATGTGAGAGATGAGCGTGTTAATGTGAGAAATTAGCATGTTAATGTGAGAGGTGAGCATGTTAATGTGAGAGATGAGCGTGTTAATGTGAGAGATGAGCGTGTTAATGTGAGAGATGAGCGTGTTAATGTGAGAGTGTTAATGTGAGAGATGAGCATGTTAATGTGAGAGATGAGCATGTTAATGTGAGAGATGAGCGTGTTAATGTGAGAGATGAGCATGTTAATGGGAGAGATGAGCGTGTTAATGTGAGAGATGAGCGTGTTAATGTGAGAGATTAGCATGTTAATGCGAGAGATGAGCATGTTGATGTGAGAGATGAGCATGTTAATGGGAGATCGTGAAGCAGCAGCCTCGAGGATGGTGCGTGAGGTAGCTGTGTAAGTGAGAAATTTAATCTGTTAATGTAGAAAATCAGAGAGCCGAAAATAACAACTAACATCGGAAGGTGGTAGGCTGGGAACATCACAGCCAGTTGTGACTTGCACTGGTTGATAACGTCCTTCCAATGACTGCTCAGCTTGTACCCATCTTCTCGGTTGAAATTGTGTCTGTGTCTATATATATATGGATGGCTTCATGAACGAATCTTTGTTGATAGCCAGTGGGTTTGCAAAGTACCTTCGTCTTAGAGAAATCAATTTCGTGTGAGCCCACCGCATTACAACAATGATCAGCCACGGCCAAGGTATTGGTCCTACCGTGTTTCAGATCTGCCTTATGTTCACGAAAACGGTCCGAGACATGTTGCTTAGTTTCCCCAATGTAACTACTGCCGCAGACACAGCTTAGTTTATAGACGCCGGGGTATTGCATGTCAGGGATCACATCCTTCACAGATGCGATCAGATCACGAATTTTATATACTGTGTTAAATCAAACCTGGATATTGTGTTTGTTCATGATTTTGGAAATCTTTTACGCTTCCTCCTGTTGGGTGATGTGGCCTACTTTGCCACGCTCGCCTTCATAGGTACTGCTCGCTAACACCACTTGCATCCCACAATGTGTCAAGGCTACACGGGGGATCTTTGTCTTTGGTGAGCGGCAGTGTGGCAGTGACCGCGCTGGGGTACGAACCCGGCGACCCGAGTTCGATTCCCGAGTTACGGCCCCTGCAGGGGGCATTCGGCCTCCTCTTCTAATGGGAGTGTACCCACACTTCACCCCACCGCACGCGACCTGCCGATCGACCACGCGTGGCGCAACCCATTTACCACTGCTGGGTGGACCGAGGCAGGGCGGAGGGGCTTCTGAGAAACCTGCCACATTGTTTCGGCTGCCGGAGCCGTGAATATTGAGTTGAACCGGCGACCTCCGCGTTTCAAGTCAGGCGCTTGAACCATTAAACCACCACCACCGTCACCGTCACGGCAGCAGCAGCATCACGTGTGTTGTGAAGTAGGGCCACGTGTGTTGTTAAGAAGGGGAAACGATGGGAAAACCGCCAAGGCCGGGGGTGTTATTGACGAATATTTTGAGTTTGTTATTCCATTTAAGAAGAACTAAATCCAGGTATTGCCAGCGAGGAATAACTCTCGGCAGGTCAGGCTCGCTCGGTACAATTCGGTTGTTTTTCTTGTCCCATTTGCCCTGGCGGTTTTCCCATAGTTTCATTTGCCAGTCTGGCTCGGTCATTGAATCCACATTTCATTAATCGCTCCAACCTCGTCAACTTGCCAATCCGTGTGACTACCCACCCACGCATATATCTAGTTACCTGCCTACCCATCTAACTATTTAATTGCCTATTGACCTATGTACTTTCTTACCTTCCGACTCACCGACTTGCCTAACCTACTACCTACTCGCCTACTTGCTTGTCTACCTACCTACTTACCTGTTTACCCTCCCAAGGGGCGACGTCTATGTCTATCTACTTAACCATCTAACTCGCTAATTACCTCCCGATTTACTTACCTTCCCACCAATCTACCAGCCTCTCTCACTATCTGCCTACTTGCCTGTCCACTTGCCTTCTTACCTATCCACCAAGCCACCCTCCTAATACATATCCACCCACCCCACTACGTACTACCTACCTACCCACCCACCTCACCTACCTCCCTACTCTGCTACCTGCCTACGTGCTTGCTTATCTGCAAGGCGTATAACGACGCCATGGATCCACCCACTAAAAGCAGTACTCGCACCCACGATGCGTCCGCGGAAATCGCCCACGCTAGATGGGATTATTATTTACGATTTTTGTGCAAATCGCGTGCATGCAGCAAAACAATGAGGGCACGTGCAAATGCGGCGTGTTGACCGATGAAGCAGACGGGGTGGCACGAACAATGCAGGCCGAGCGAGATGCGCGAAACAGCAACACCAATGAGATGTGAAAAAAGCAAGGCGGGAAGAGAAACGCCCGCGATCGAATTAAATCGTCTACTACAAATGTTGACAGTTCACCCAACGCCGTGCGCCGGTAAAGGGGGGCGGGTAGGGGGTGATGAATCGTTGTATGCCTACTACCCACCCACCTACCCACCTCCACATCTATCCACCTACCTGCCTGCCCACTGACATACCTCAACAGTCGATGTGAATACCTGTTGAAATGAGCATTGAGGCGGTGCTAATTGCCTATTTACAGCTCTGCTGCAGCGGTGACGTTTCCACATTGCTATGGCGGGAGGTGAGTCTGTCCATAGGACAACCACTGTTAGAAATCCCCCAAAAAGTGGTCGCCAATTTTAGTGACCGCGGAGGGATGAAACTGTTGGGTCAACCACCCAACCAGGAGACGAACTCGCGACCTTTCCGATCGCGAGCTGATCGCTACTGCCGAAACGTCTTGGCCGGTTTCACCACCCGACTCGCCCCATCTTCTACCGGTCACGTGGCGAAGAACTCCATTCGGAACACTCGCTCGCATGGGCGTGACGTCATAGTAGTCACTTCCTGTGACGTCACATTTTTGGATCATTCCCCCCTCAAATAATATATTTATATATATTTACGAATCATCCATTATCCCATTGTAACCATTTTAAAAAATGTATGAATAATAATAATAAAAAATGATGAATCCAAAAACCAGGCAGGACATCTCCCCCCCCATCCCTCATCCTATGAACAAGCTGAGCGAGCTAAGCGATGATGGGGAAGGCAGGCGGAGGGTGAGGGCGAGAGTTGGACTCCCGTGGAGGGGTAGACTGACCGATGCACACGTTCTCGTGGCTGAGCGGGAGCGACGCGTTGCGGTAGTGTCCCGGCCGGCAGTACTGACAGTGCTGGCCCCGCGTGCTGTGCTTGCAGCTCACGCACACGACAAGGTTTAGCAGTTTGATGTAACTGCAGCGCTCCGAGTGGCCGTGGCATTCGCAGTCTTTAGGAGGAAGGGGAGACACGACGGGTGGCGCAAACCAGCCAAGGGAAGGGGAGGGCAGATACGCGCAAGCACATAGGCACGCACACACCGCACGCATTGGCACATACGGACGCGCGCACACGCGTGCGCACACGCGCGCGGACACGCACGCGCGCGCACGGGCACACGCAGGCACACACCGGCACGTGCGCGCGAGTAGACATGGGTACGTGTTCGGACACATGTACGCGCGCGCGCGCGCGGACACACACAGAGACATACGCAGACATAGGGGACACGCGCGCACACACACACAAAGCGGGGTTTTACTTTCTACATGATTTATGTGTGCGAATTTGATTGGTACTGATACAGGGATCGCACGTAGGTTAAAATGAATTATTTTTAATTATTATTGCTAATGATGACAATAATGCTGATACTTTGTGTTCCAGGAACAGCCTCACTCAGTCTAAACACCTCTCTTCTCATAGGGTCGCGACGTATCCCACATCTGGGCTGCCGGGTGATACAGATGGCAGTACAGTACACCAATGGAACCCTTGAAACAATTCGTACCGGAGCTCTCTGCTCGGAAGTAGGGTCGTTGCCCGAAACGTCGCCTATCAAAAATGTGTTGTCCTTCGAGAGCGGCGTTATTGACACGGACCGTGTTGAGTGTGTTGTTGTTGTTGTCTGTGCTTGTGCACCAATACCAACTCCGGGCTGCTCTCCCGTTTCCGTCCACACGAAGACCGATTAACACATTTGGCCCAAAGCTCATCCGTGTGGAGGGACCTCGCGCCTCCGATTAGCACGGTTGACTCCGTAAGAAGTGCAACAACATGCATACTGCATCACATGTGTGGAGGCTCAGTGAAGGCTTTCCTTGACAAATAAAGGGGCATCGTTATTATTATTATTGCAATCACCTGTGCGTATAATCTGAATAAATGAATGAAATCCAACAACAGAATATAATTCATCACTTTGATGTGATTTCCCTACTGCGACAATCGCAGTCCATCCACGCGAATGCTCTTCCCTTTGCGCCAGCACGCGGCTGCTGGGTCTGTGTTCAAATTCCCTTGCGGATCCCAAACGACCTTGAGTCGCTGCTTTGTGCCCATACTTCCAACGGGCAACACCTGCGTTAAATAAATTAAATAAGCGAATAAATAAATAACTTCCTTTAAACGGCAAAATTACTTCCGCCCCCCCTCCCCCCGCTTAAACATTCTGACTCTGAGATTAAGTTGACGCAAGGAAGAGGAGGAGGGGGGAGGGGAGACCTGGAGAGTGGACTAGGCCGTGCGTTGCATGAAGGGAATTGCGAGCACAACTTTGCCTTGCCTCTGCTCGCAATAAAAGACCCATTCATTGTTCCGCTGTCCTCGTCCGTTCAAAAGGCAATAACATCCCCCCCCCCGCATCGCCACTCTCGGTATGCGTTCATCACGGAGGTAATCTGCTTGTCAGAATACAGCAGGCAGAGAGAGTGAGTGACAGGCAGAGAGGAAGGGGGCATCTTGAACGAGGGGCAGGGTGAGGGCAGCACGGAAGAATGGTGGGAGGCTGTTCCAGACCACGGGCGCAGCAAAAAGTTGTCCTCACGTAGCCGGAGAAAAGCTTCTAAAGTGTGACCGAAACACTTGGGGCGTATGGGGTGGGTCAATAAAATCGATTTGAATTGTTAAGCAAAGTCACAAAGTTAAAATCGATTTCCTTCGGCTCAAATGAGCATTGAGGTAACGGTGCGCATCTCCCGTTCTACAGCCCTGCAGAGCCAGTGGTGGAAATTCCACATTCCTATGGCGGGGGCGAGTCTATCCATAGGACAGCCAGAGCCAGCGTCACTCGCAGCGAATTGAGTGACGGCGCTGATGCAATGAGATGAACGCAGCGATGGCAAAAAGTAGGAATGTAGAATAAGAATACATTCAAAGAGTAATAAGAATAGGGTTTACCCTTTCTGGCAATACAACAAGAGGCGTGCAGATGTTCAAACACCAAATAGAAACCTTTTGCATGGAATCAAGTCTCCATTAGCCACACGTACTTGTGGTGAGCATGCAAACAAACATGCTCTGATAATCATCATTAATGCATTGTCTTTGAAGCTGATTTGCCCTACACCAGATGGCAGTCTTCCTTATGGCCTTGTCTCACCAGTGTTTGCACATCTTAACAACTGTTGTATTGCCAGAAAGGGTAAAGCCTATTCTTATGTTTCATACTTTGATACTTGCAAAGTAGGAGTGTAGCCTCCCCCCCATCCTCCTCTTAACTCTTTGAACTGAACTTCAATTCCAGAACTGTTTTCCTGTTTGACTCATTTTAACGTCTCTCATTTGTATTGTTTCCCATTCGTCCTGTCTGGCTTGTCCAGTCGTGTTCCTTCCGTTCGTCAAAATATAACAACACAGAATGCATAATCATCCGCATATCACCTTTCAAACAAACCCAGCACACGTAGTCGAGATATCCAACTACAAGCAAAGAGCTGGCTGTTTTGGGGAGAGCTTATGCGGGACTTTTAAAGCGGCCGAGACGGTGTCAACGGAAAAGCGAACTGGTTGAGGTTCGTGGTTTTGAGTTACACCGAGACAGGCAGCGGAGGGCACGGATCAAAGCATGCCACGTGCCAGCGACAACGCGTTGACTGAAGGGAGTTGAGCAGGTTTTGGCAGGACACGTAGCGAGAAGGGGCGACTGTGGCCGGTTGGTCGAGACTAACAACGGACTGGCAGCCGAAGGAGGAAGCGCGGTCTGCAATAACTTGCACGCCCGTCGCGGAGATGGATCGTTGAATTCAGCGTGTAGGTAGGAGGAGCTCGAGGGATCGTCGGCATCCCCGGAACCGCGCGAGTGATAGCGACGGCTTTGTGACGCCTTCGCCAGCAGTGGATAGAACATCGCTGCTGCTGCTGCTTATGATGATGATGTTGACGATTCTATTCTTGCGTTTGGCAGCAAGATGTCCCGGTGCTAAATGCCAAAGTCGTGGTCTGCTAGCAACGACGAGGGGGCTTCACGGGAGAGACAGAGAGAGTTCGTGTCGTTCTGGAATTCCTATGTGACGATGATGATTATGATGATGATAACCATCACATCATCATCTTTGTAACAAAGTCGTAGAACTGGCTAGAAAGGGCTCAAGAGGGTTATCCGGACCGGGCCGATCTGTGCGAACCCAGCACTTGGGGGCTTTAGGTCCTCGGGAGCGCTTTGCGAGCGGAGAGATACGAGGCGTCGGCTGCGTGCGAGTGCGACGGTGGTGAAGTAATTTGACGGTTCCTTTTTTCACCCCGCGAACGGACAAACACTTTTTTTTTACGTAACAAAAAAAAGAGAAAACGCTCTGCAAATTCCGCCTGCGCGCAGCAAGCGGCCCAACATCCCCAACCTCTCGGCCCGGGGTTTGAGCCCCGCGTGTATTCACGGCGAGGATTTAGATACGAACGTCACGAAACCGCCATCACCGCCGCCGTCGGTTTGTTGTGTTGCGTGCGGCGCCGCGTTTTATCTTCCACCCAGCGATTAATTTTTACGAGCGCGCAATTTAATTTCGAATTTTGTCGTTGTCGTTGTCGTTGCAGGCGGTCACGTCGCTGCCCCCGTGTCAATGGGCGCGGGCGTGAACGTGACAGCACGCTGCGATGTCACGTGCCGACGGATGATGACATGATGCACCTGATGTCCTTCCTACACAACAAATAATATATAACAACAAATGTTTCGACCCTTTGTCAATACACTGCTGGATGAAGGCCGCCACATGTTGTTGTTTGACCATACTTCACCACCCTGGACGCCCACGGTGCGGGAGTTTCACAACATCATCTGCGTGGCGGTCCACCAACTCTCGGAGAGCCGCCACCGCCCGGCTAATGATTCAGATGATGATCACGATGACAACGATCATCATCATCATCGTGATGATGTTGATCACGTTGATGATGATCATGTTGATCATCATGTTGATCATCATCACGGTGATGATGATCACCGTTTATATAATTGCACTTCATTGTCACTTTCCCAACAGCCCCAACACCTCCCCCCCCTCTCCCCCTCCTTCCACACGGGACTCTTCCTCGGTGTAGGCGGCAATATTCTCGCCCTGTCCGTCTCGGCACGCTCCTTTCTGCCGTGAGTGATTGATGCGCCTGGGGGGGCGGGCGGGCAGGCGGGGCGGGGGTTGAGGCTCCGCTTTGGACTGCCCGCTTCGTAAACTGCAGCCCCACCCCCAGCCACCAAGACCGCTTGTTTGTGTTCGCGGAGCCGAGCCCGCAGACAGGGGGGGAGGGGCTGCGGTCTTCCTTTGTGGGCTGGCGGGCGGGCTGGCGGGCGCTGTTGCGAACCAACGACCACTGCCCTAGCCGTTACCGCCAGCTAATGGGCACTAACGATACACGAGCGCGTGTGTGTGTGTGCCTCTGCCGTGCCCTCGCAGCAGCCCCGACACAGATCGATGGCGCGATTGGGGGGTGGTGGTGGTGGTGGTTGAGGAGAGGGCATCGAGCGAGGAAGGAGGTAAGGCGAGAGACGGGGGGGGGGGGGGGGGGTGACGGAGCAAGAGGGTTGCAGTATTATTCGACTTCAAGAGAACAAGTTGGAAAGATAAACGTGGAGCCTTGCAATTGTTTTGGGTTTTTTTTACACTGGGGCCCAAAGGCAGCACTAATAGATGAGGGTTGATGCGTTTCTTTGAATTCAGAAAGTTAATCATATCTTGAATAACACCGAGACTATGAGAGGAAATTCCAAAGTGTTACCGCCAGCGCATGCCATTGCTGACACAGGGGCCTCTAGAAGACTCTGGAGAGAACCCCCTCTGGAGGGTATTTGGCCTACTCCTCCACGCAGGCCAGTAGTCTTCGATGAGGTTGGAGTACCCGCACATCACCCCCACCACACACGGCCTGCCAATCAAACCAACTGTGGTGGGTGCCACGTGGACACACCAGGCGGGGTGCCGGGCGAGTCAGGGGGCGTGGGAGAAATTCGAGATCCCC